AAAAAAAATTTTTTTTAAATACTATATCCTCCCATCCAAGCCCAGCCACAAATAATAAAATGCTAGTTGGTCTTTTTGCCTATGCATAGTTTTAGGCTAGAAGAACTTTTTCTTCTTCTTTTATTTTCTTTTGAGACAGAGTCTCACTCTGTCACCCAGGCTAGAATGCCATGGCATCAGCCTAGTTCACACAAACCTCAAACTCCTGGGTTCTAGTGATCTTCCTGACTCAGCCTCCTTAATAGCTGGGACTACCAGTGCTTGCCACTGCACCTGGCTAACTTTTCTATTTTTAGTAGCGACAGGGTCTTGCTCTTGCTCAGGCTGGTCTCAAACTCCTGAGCTAAAGGGATTCTCCTGCCTTAGCCTTCCAGAGTGCTGTAATCACAGGTCTGAGCTACTGCACCCAGCTAGGGAACTTTCTCTTACACAGTTACAGTCGTAGTGGATATAAACTTTTAATATCTCGATTTTTTTTATTTTTTTCAAACAATCAATAAATAGTTAAATTCTGGTTTTGTGAAGTTACACTTGTATCTTAGACTTAAAGGGGACCTTACACATTGTTTAGATTGACCACCCCAGCAATTGCGTGAACTTCTTCCCTATAACCCTAAGCATGGTCTCTGAGTAAGCGTATGTACTTTTCTGTATAAGGCATTTCTCCAGACTAAAGATAAGTCATTAGAACTCTTGGTCCTTCTTCAAAGCTTATGTCCTTAAATAAACCATTTGTTCAATGTTAACTAAACAACTCAGAGGTATTATGTGCCTATCACAATGCAGGAAAGATGCTTTTCAGAGAGTTTTCTAAACAAGGAAGAAGTTGTCTCCATTTCCACATAAAGGATTGCATCATTGCCATGAAAGATTTGATACTAAAGATGAACTTACATGTACATTCAAGAAGCATGCGGGAGGAAGGCATCTATATTTTCATAAAGTTAACTTTAAATTACAATGTTTTGATAATGGCAACCTGTACAAAACAAGCTTCCAATTGTCAGCATTTGCCCAAAGTCTTCCCCAAAGATTTATGGGAAACATTTGAAAGAGATCACTGCAGAGAAAATGATTATAAAGGTGACTTTACTTTCCATTTGAGGGGTGTGTATGACGAGGGGGTGATTGTTCATAAATTTCAAACATTATAACTATAATCATTTCCTCACTGTGGCTTGATCTATGATCACTTCATCTATTTCATATATTATATATGTACATGATTTGACCCCCATTCTAGTTCCATATAGATCCATCTGTATATGGAACTCAAACATGCTGTTTCTATCGGAGATGGCCCTGAATTGCAAAGATGGCCCAAATCGTTACCTGTGAACAATTTCTCCGAGTAAGAAGTTGCAAGGTCTTGGGCAGTGCCTGTGGCTCAAAGGAGTAGGGCAATGGCCCCATATGCCAGAGATGGCTGGTTCAAACCCAGCCCCAGCCAAAAACTGCAAGGAAAAAAAAAAAAAGAAGTTGCAAGGTCTTGTCTTTGGCTGCCATCATTGCTGAGGTCTTTCCAAGCCCTTGGGAGACTTCTGTCAAGAGCTGTCATTCTCCTAACATCAGCAGAGCTCTGACGAGTTACATAGCTTTCCTTGGGAAAACGCTACCATTTCATTAATTCAAAATATTATTTCCTAATATAAGCTCCTAACATTTAAAAACAATATTTATAAATATATTAATTATGGGGGATGATTACTTGATTGAATTCTTAGGAGATAAGAATTATGTCTAGTTTTGTCTGGATAGAATAAACACAAGAGCTGGACTATACACATTTTACACTGTTATTTTCAATTACTCATGATTTTTCCAGGAAAAAGAAAATAGGAATTAAAGTGGAACAGCAGACTTCTAATTGGTTTTGTCTTTTGATTCAGTTTGACCATCAGTAATGATGTAAGATAGAATGTTGCCTCTTGGGGTCCTACTTAAATTTTTTGTTTACCTTTGCTGTGTACACTTCCATTGTGCTTTTTGAAATAACTCTAGAAGCCCATAAACTAATGCTTTGCAAAGCCGAAATAAAAATGTTTGTAGCCTGTCTTAGAGACATCTCCTTTTATGAGGATCAGAGTAGAAAATAGAAACAAAAATTAACAAAATACATATTTGTGACCTTGTAATGTATATAACCAAAACTGAAAATGGCAAAGAAAAGGCTTGGAGCTGATTAACTTATGTGCTGCTAGTTGGAGGTACAACCGGAGATTGTTAACACACAAATACTTTTAGAGAAGTTGCCTTATTTACAGGACAGTCACCCTCTATGTTTATTTATCATGTTAAGGCGAAAAAGAAATGGAGAGCAGAGGGTCTCCCTCCACACGGATGCAAAGCCATTATCATATGTTAAGTAGTTTTTGTAAATTCATTTCTATTTACCAAAATCTTAAGGCAGGCCATACTTTGTTTAGAAAAATAAAAAATAAAAGCTATACGCCACAAAGCTGAGTCATTCATTCCTGCCTAATTCACTCTTTAATTGGCCTGAGAGATTTATAATCCACCAAACTCAATTAGGCAATTAAGCAATTAGCCTTCTGTCTTCTTTCCTATCAGAAAGACTTGAATCACGGCCATTGTCATTTCTTACAATTATTTCTGGTTCATTTTTTCACGCCACAATGACTAATCATAACTGTTAATCATAAAATGCAGTCAATCCAAATTTATTACTCAATCAGCTAAAACAATCAGATTGTACCACTTTGTAAATTTCTGGCCACACACATTGTCACAGATTCTAGGATTCAGCATTTTTCTAAAGCTGTGTTTGGTTGTTTCAGTCATTCTGCCACCTAATAGCATGCCTCCCCCTCCCTCCGCCTCCCCCTCCCACCTCCTCCCTCTTTCTCCTTTCCCGCCCCTTTCCTCCCTCTCCCTCCCCTTTCCTCCCTCCTCCCTCTTTCCTCCTCCTCCTTCCTTCCTTTCTCTTCCTTCTCTTCTCCTTCCCCTCCCCCCTCTTCCTTCTTCCTATTTTTCTTTTGGGTTTGTTTTTTTTTGGACAGAGTGTCGTTTTGTTGCCTGGGCTAGAGTGCAGTGGCATCATCATAGCTCACTGCAACCTCATACTCCTGGACTCAAGTGATTCTCCTATCTTTGCCTCCTAAGTAGCTGGGAGTATAGGTGCTCGCCACCACACCTGGGTAATTTTTTTTTTATTTTTGTAGAGATAGGATCTCTCTATATTGCCCAAGCTGGTCTTAAACACCTGGCGTAAAGCAATCCTCCCCAAATGTTGGGATTATAGGTGTGAGCCACTCGCCCTGCTAGATTGTCTCTTTTACCAATTTGGTTTTTTGTTGAAGGTATTTTTAAAAAACAGAATTTTTACCTGGATGGGTTAAAATAATTCAGTATAGTTATTCATAAATGCTCATTCCCTTTCTGTTTTACTCTCCCACTTCTTAAAAATAGGTGGAAATTTATTAAGGTATTAACAGAAGAGAAAGCATATGGAGGTTCACTTGACAAAATTTTAATTGTAATAATTTTTTTCTAAGCTATAAGTCTCATTTTGGACACAAAAGTTCCATATTCAATGGTGGCTCACACCTGTAATCCCAGCACTCTGGGAGGCTGAGGCAGGTATATCCCTGGAACTCAGGAGTCTGAGACCAGCCAGAGCAAGAGTGAGACCTTGTCTCTACTAAAAATAGAAAAACTATCTGGCCATGGTGGTGCCACCTATAGTCCTAGCTACTTGGGAGGCTGAGGCGGGAGGATCACTTGAGCCCAGGAGTGTGAGGTTGCTGTGAGTTAAGATGCCACGGCACTCTACCCAGGGTGACAGAGTGAGACTCTGCCTCAAAAAAAAAGAAGAATTTTCTTAAGGCTACAGATGAAGATAAGAAGTCAGTAGAGGGCCAACAAGAGATACAAAGTTTCAGTTATTTTATAATATTTTAAATAAGGTTCTTATTTAAGAATCTTATTTATGGTCCACAGTTTAATATTTGGTAGGTGAATATAGCACATGTAAATTGCAGAGGAAATCATAGCAATTTATACCTAGCCCTTCCTCTAACCTTCCCATTAATCTTGGAGTGGGTAAAGCAGCCTTTATTAACAGTAGCGACGCTGTTAGTTGTGCTCACTAACGCCCTGTTGTGCGTTCTGTGGCTGTGTGTGTTTTGTCTGCCGTTGTACAGGAATTCAAACCCATTGGTACCGCACACAACAGAAGGGCCCAGCCTTTTGTTGCAGCAGCAAACATTGATGACAAAAGACAGGTAGTGAGCGCTTCTTATAACTCACCCATTGGGCTCTATTCTACTAGCAATATCCAAGACGCCCTGCACGGACAGCTCCGGGGTCTCATCCCTAGTTCGCCTCAAAAGTAAGTACTGGACTCTCTGTCCTGGCCACCGTGATCATCATCTGGTTTCTTTTCCTTTCAAAAGTCCAGCTCTTGCTGTTTCATTTTTATGTTCTTGAAGATATTCTCAAATCTTTATTCTAAAAGGCCAGCTAATTATTCTGGGTTCCAATCAGCCAGTTCCTGAATGTTTAATGAATAGATGGTTGAAAAGAAGAGATTGTCCTGGTTGCTTCACTCCCCTTCTTAGTTATGAGGATATTTTGGTGGTAAATAATCCTCTCAGTGCAATTAGCGTTGTTGTAATTTTATTGTTTTAAAAATGCGTCTTTCACTGAGGGACCTTTTTAACCCTTTGTTTTTTGCAGGATGTGAACTACTTTGAACACAAGCATAATATTCGGCCCAAACCTTTCATAATCCCAGGCCGAAGCAGGTTATAAGCGCTGAGATTGTGAAGTTTGGAGCGCATGGCTTCTTTATTTTTTTCTTCATTTTTTAAATTTGTATATATTCCTGGGGGTACAAGTGCAATTTTGCTACATTGACTCCTGCATTGTGGTGAAGTCGGGTTCCTCTGTGCCTCCGTCACTAGAGCTGCCTACATTGTACCCACCATGTAACCTCCCATCACCCAGCTGCATGCTTTGTTAATCAAGACTTACTAATCCACCCAGAAAAGTAATTTTTGAGATGTGTGGGGTGGCTCTTCATTATGAAGCTTATTTCAAAAGCAAAACACAACAAACTCACCTAGCAGAGAACAGCAGCCAAATAACCTCCATTTCCAAGAGTAAATATTGATGAGATTCCACAGCAGTGAAATTTTATGCCCTCACCATGTGTATTTATAGCTAATACACCTGTTGCACTGGGGATTTCACTGAGAGCACAGTGACCTCTGAGTCAGGCAATGGCAGGAAAGCCCTGCCAGTGGGAACAAAAATGGAAACCAGCTTCCCCGCTCCCAGGCACACACGTGGAAGCTGGTATTGCCTTCCTGTGTCTGAAAGACTCCAGCCTGCCTACCTCAGAACCTGCTTCTCATGTACCTTCCAATTCCACTAATACTAGCTCAGAAATAAATATGAAGTTGTATTCTTGTGGCTCCTTGCAAAGGAACAAAGGACATATAGAAAGGTACTTTTGCAGTTGAGTGGGGATAGCTATACAGTAAGAGCTGGGAGGGAGGAGAGTGTATTGGACAGGACTGAAAAAATTGAAATAGTAATGAATATTCTCATCTATCAGTCAGAGAAACTGATCATCTTCAGAAGCTCCTTTTCAATTATCTCCTCTAGACATTGATCTCCAGCCTAAGGGAAAAGGAATGAATACCCTCTATTGCCATATTCTGCCTCAGGAAACCTTAAATCCATTCCCTTGAGCTCAGCTAAGTCGGTCAGCTCAGAGGCTAGATTGATCCTTCTGGAGCACTGAATAATGATTTGCATCAGATGTCTCAAACTGGTGGCCCATAGATGGATTCAATTCATGGACTTTTTTTGAGACAGAGTCCCATTTTGTTGCCCTGGATAGAGTGCTGTGGCATCCTAGTTTACAGTAACCTCAAACTCCTGGGCTCAAGAGATCCTCCTGCTTCAGCCCCCGAGTACCTGGGACTACAGGCACCTGCCACCATGCCAGACTAATTTTTCTATTTTTAGTAGACATGAAGCCTCGCTCTTGCTCTGGCTTGTCTTGAACTCCTGACCTCAGGAGATACACCAGCCTTGGCCTCTCAGAGTGGTAAGATTACAGGCCGATATTTAAACTGTTAATATTCCTGGGGCTTTATTACTAGTTATATTTTTTTCATTATTCATCATAATTGCACCTGATCTTAGCCAAAAGGCTGAGAAGCAATTTATTTCATCATAATTAAAACACTTTAAAAGACTGGCGTTTTATATGCAAACATAAAATTTTTAAGGCTAAAGTTATAATTGAAAATATAAGGCTGGGCATAGTGGCTCATGCTTATAATCCTAGCATTCTGAGAGGCCGAGGCAGGTGGATTGCTTGAGCTCAGGAGTTGAGTCCAGCCTGAGCAAGAGTAAGACCCTGTCTCTAACTAAAGATAGAGAAACTGAGCCAAGAGGATCACTTGAGCCCAATAGTTGGGGGTTGCTGTGAGGTATGATGATGCCATGACACTTTATCCAGGGTGACAGCTTGAGACTCTGTCTAAATTTAAAAAAAAAGTAAAAGTAAACAAAAATATATACATAGTATTTTAGATCCAAATAATAAAATACAATCCTGTGAGTGGGTTTTTAATACATCTCAAAAAGTCTGTACACAAAGTAGGGAAATTAATTCTCTGTCGAATGACCTATCTGGGCATATTATCAACCTGTTAGGTGGTCTCACCGTGTAAGCCAACCTCTGTGAATCTCATTAGCAGGAGGTCATCAGGAACAGATCTCGGTGACCTGTCATAGTATCCGCAGGTACTGGAGTCCATGGAAACTATTTTACTTAAAGTATCAGTTCAAGAGATTGTTTTAAATTGTCCCAGAAATTCATAAAAGGTCATTCTTGTTATCTGATGGTTTATTTATTCCCTGTCTGTTTCATGACCCCAAAATGGAATAATAAAGGAACTAGGAAATAGAAGACAACAATCTTTGCAAGCTTAACTAAAATTATATACACAAGCATGCATATATACAAGAACACTAACGGCGGGACAAGAATACTAATTGCAAATTTTATACACCATAAGGCATATCTGTAAGTTCCAAGTGGATGATAGGGGTCAGAGCCACTGTGAGTACCTGTTGGGTGGGTTCACTGTCTTAAGCCCAAAGACTCTTAAGATTTAACTCAGTGTGATATATCCCTAAACTACAATTTCTTAAGCTTCATTACACTCAAGCCAAATCACTACAGGCCTGACTAAACTGCACTACCACAGAAAATTCGCTTGTATCCTCTTACCAGCTGAGGTCAATTTCAAGTGCAGTGCTGAGCCTGCAAAAACAGTGATGAGTCCTCTTGACGTTTTGGTATGCCATCTGTATGCATACAGAGTTCTAGGCAGGTTCTCAACAGCTAGGAAGTGAAGGAGCCTGCCTGGTTCAGGCTATGTAGGTAGTTATACCAGGTAACATGAAACAAACCAACAAACAAAAATTTAAATCCATTTAGTGACATGTGTTGTTCAGACTAATAAGGCTGCAACATTGATGAAGCAAAAAAAAACAAATCACTGCCCAATATCCTTTGTTTGGGGGCTGAGGTTAGCATTAATAACTCTCGTGATTAAATGCAAATACCAGGCCATGTGCAGACCTGAGAGAAACACACCATATGAATGCATTCTCTGTCTTGAGTTCACAGCGACGCTACTGGGCATGATATGTGTGTATGCTAACACTAACATTGCATTTTGCTTTGTTTTAAATGATTACGCTTTTTAAAAAAAATCTCTTAGTGTAGTCTATATTCTTATCAAATGCATCTTTCATGCACAAAGAAAAATGTTTTAATCATCTGCATGTCTATTTTCACTGACCTTTCATCCTGGTTCATGGAAAATATAACATCTCCCTAGGTCTTCAAATCTGCATGACTGGCTTTTTTATGTTTTAATAATAATAAGTTCCTGCAACTTGTCTTTAAAAGGAAATGAGAAATATGCATGGAAATGTTCTTAAATTTTACATGAGATGTCTATGTATAAATTAAGGATGTCGTACTCCTAAATAGCATCCAAAGAGTCCAAGGCCACTGATTTGCCTTCTAATCATTCATTTCAAGGTGACAGCATTTATTGGCTATTTTGAGGGCCTGAAACCACTGAACAGTTTCTTAAAATGTGTTTTTCACAAAATGAAAGAGAAAAAATTTAGAAAATATTGAAATAGTAACAATAAATTATATATACAATATATATTTTATATATATTAAGCTTTTGTAATCTTTACCATGTAACCTACAAATTGCTATTGACTATTTAATTAGAGTTCAATTTCATTACCAAACACACTTCTGATTTTGAAATGCTCTGCCAAAATATTTGGTTGGACCTTTGTGCTCCACATTCTGGTACTATTTGTGAAGACTCTTTAGTACTTTAATTTCACAAACTGCACTTCAGAAACGTAAAAGTATGTCCAGCCCATGTAATAATTTCCCTCCATCATTTGCCTGTGATATTGTCAAGTTTCAAGTTTTACATTATCTAACCTATTTCTTAAAAATGAGGACAGCTGCAACTTTTCTGCTCCTGTTGGATACAATAATGAGGTTTGCTACATGTGAACCTCAACTTGGGTATGGCCTGGAAGAACAGAGCCAAAAAATGCAGTATCGCCTGGACCTTTTAATTTTATTAAACTTCTGTTCAGTGATGTCTTCTCTTTTTAAAAATAAACTCTAGCCAGAAATCAACATTGCATTTTAGTTTGATAGAATTCACTTCTCACGGTTTATGTTCTACCCCTTTTAACCTCTCTGCACTTGTTCTCTGTTCTTCTGTCTGGTTCTCGTGCCGTCTCTGTCTGACGTGGCCATTAACACAGTGGATGCAACACTCCCTCCGGTATTGACTGTGGCAGTGGACGTAGCACTCCTTCTTCTCTCAGTACTGTTAGTACCATTTGCCCAGGTGACTTGAAAGTTGCTGCTAAGATGGCCCCTAACATTCCTTTGGAAATGGAACTTCCTGGTGTGAAGATCGTTCATGCCCAGTTTAATACACCAATGCAGTTGTATTCAGATGACAATATTATGGAAACACTTCAGGGTCAGGTGTCAACAGCGCTAGGGGAAACTCCCTCAATGAGGTAATATGGATGTTTTTGAACCATGGGTGTATTAACTAAACACGTGGGCAATGTCTGCTTTACTAGTGTCTTCTAATGTTGTCTTAATCAAAAGAAGCCTGTGTGGAATGCTTTTTAAAGATACAAAAGATTTGTGCAATTATCTAGGCCTGAAGATAAAAGTGATTTGAGGAATTATCTAAGTAGAGCTTTATGTGCCAGATTGTAATAAAATGAAATCATAAGGATGAAATATATATGTCTGTCTCTTGAAAGCTACAATGCATTTTATAAATGTCTGTTTTAATACTTCAAAGTGTGATGTATTAATATAATGTAGTATATTCTGTCTTATAGTATAGTTTTCCCAGTGGGGGTAAAAAATTTGGAAAGGGGTGACAGGTTTAGAGGAATTTTAGAAGAGATACTTAATTCTCTATTCTGATAACAGCTTGTGGAGAGGTAATTATTTCTCCATTTAAAATGTTTATCATGGCAGGGCGTAGTGGCTCACACTTATAATCCTAGCACTCTGAGAGGGGGAAGAGGGGGCGTGATGGCAGGCACCAAAAGTCCCAGCCGCTCAGGAGGCTGAGGCAAGAGAATCACTTGAGCCCAAGAGTTTGAGGTTGCTGTGAGCTGTGATGTCACAGTACTCTACCCAGGGTGAAAAGTGAGACTCTTGTCTCAAAAAAAAAAAAATTTTTTTTTCTTAAGATTTTTATCGGCTTGGTGCCTGTGGCTTGGGTGCCTGGGGCGCCAGCCACATGCACCTAAGGTGGTGAGTCCGAATCCAGCCTGGGCCTGCCAAGTGACAATGACGGCTACAACCAAGAAGTGACCAGGCGTTGTGGCAGGTGCCTGTGGTCCTAGCTGCTTGGGAGGCTGAGGCAGGAGACTCGCTTGAGCCCAGGAGTTGGAGGTTGCTGTGAGCTGTGATGCCATAGCACTCTACCTAGGGGAATAGCTTGAGGCTCTGTCTCAAAAAAAAAGATTTTTATCATGCATAAAGGTTTATAAATGAATGCTCTCAGGCTATCAATGTAGATATTTAACTTTTATTATCTCTTTTCACTAATTTTCTCTTTGTTAGGACTGTTTGTTCAAAGTACTTTTGCCATCAAGCTTTTTTGTTTAAAAAAATTTACTCTAAAATAGAATCTTATTACTTCTGTCACTATCATGGAATCATGTTTTATAAATTATGGTATTATTATGCTTAAGAGTGCTATGTAATAACATCCCAAAGAGGTCTCTTGGGATGAATACACCTGAGCTAATAATAGCATGACATATCTCAAAGCCATTTTGCAGAGAATTTTAGATGAGATGATCATTTTCAAATATGATAAGTAATAAAGATATGTACAGATAGTGACTGTCATTTCTAGATAGTATAATTACTGCATTTTGTGTGTGAAATGCTATCCTGTGGATAATCACACCCACATTTTGACACAAACATTCAGGAAAACAGCCCTTGAGGAAGAGACTGGCTTTTGCCTGGGAGAGACGCAAGTAGGGAGGGTTAGCACTCTCTTGGTAGATGTGCAGATTGCACTGTCCTCCCCTGTTCTGTGAAGGCTGCCCATTCTTCCCTCTCTCTGGGGAACCTTTCCCTCCCTGCCACACCAGGGGCCAGACTGACACATGTGGCTGGCAGGGCAGGAACTTCTGAGACCACTCAGCCTGTGGGCAGCCAGGTGGGCCCCTGGGGCCTGCATGGGGGCTACTGGTGTCCTCTGATGGCTGGTCCACCTTGACAGCCCTGCCACCACCCCTTCCCCTATCATGGCACTAAGTGGAGGCCACTCTGGCCTAGTCCCTCTGGATCCCGAATCCTCCCAGACTAGAACCCCATGTACCTGCAGGCCCAGGTGGGAGGGTATGGAGGCCCCAGATGGTCTAGCTGGGCTCCCCAGCTCCTGAACTGTACTACCCATGAATAGTATCCATATTTTTCTCTCAAAAATTTAGACCAAAAAGGATGCATTATCCATGGCAAAATACAGTAAAGTGACATAAGATAATAAAGTATTCCATCTCTGAATGTATTATAACGGAACTTCTTTATCGTTCATCATGAATATATTTGTAGAAAGCACAGTAAAATAAAGCTGCTATCATTATTGTGAATGAATTTTAATGTGGCCATTTTAGAAATATAGCACAGATATGAAAGTGTCCAGATTATAGGTTTTCAAACACTGAGAAGTTGGATTTCTTCAATTTACAAGTAAAATGGTACTTTTGTTATTTCCAGAGGTTAATAAAATAATTAAACTAAAAACAAAATTAAGCCATGGACTTGTTGGTTAATATCAAAAGTAAACCTGAGGCTGGGAGCAGTGTCTTAAATCTTAATCCCAGCACTCTGGGAGACTGAAGTGGGTGGATCCCTTGAGTTTGAGACCCAGCCTGAGCAAGAGCAAGTCTCTACTAAAAATAGAAAAACTAGCTGGACATGGTGGTGGGCAACTGTAGTCCCAACTCTTGAGCCCAGGAATGTGAGGTTGCTGTGAGCTAGGCTAAGGACATGGCACTCTACCCGGGGTGATAGAGTAAGACTGTCTCAAAAAAACAGAAAAGAAAAAACAACTGAATCTAAATTTTATTGACAACTCTATGCCTGACAATAATCAAACAGGGCTCAGTCCTGCACTTTCTATTATGTATATTTTGTTTTTTTTTCTTAGAAAAGTTAATTTTGTTCACATCTATCATTCTGTATCCATTAGGCACGAGTCTTATTAGTCTTATTTTTAAAAATTCCTGTTTTCTAGCAATCATCTTTTAGTTTCTCTCCAAAGAATTTTGCCAAATGGAGAAGTGCTGATGTGACTCCCAGGTTTACTGGTGACCTTTTTAAGTTAGCCCATGTGAATTTACGTGGCATTTTTAGTTGTAATAGAGACTTGGTTGAAAGTGCTAGCTCTCTGTTAGAGAGTTGCTGTACTTAGAGTGACTGCTGCTTGCTGGTACCTGAGGTATTGGGTACCCTAACCACGATTTGGTGACTGTGCTTGTGTTTCAGTGAATCCACAGCCTCAGTGCCCCCACAGTCAGATGTGTACCGGATGCTTCATGACAGTCGGGATGAACCTTCTCAGCCTCGCCAGTCTGGTTCCTTCAGGGTGCTCCAGGAATTGGTGAACGATGGCCCTGGTGAGACATTATTGATAGAGAGGCCCTGGGAAGGGGAGGAAAGAGAGGGTGGCAAAAATAATGGGGATGAATGTCACCCTGATTTTCATTAGTAACAAGATGAATCTTTGCCCAGAAGAATTTGAGTGGGACTGGGCCAGGTGGCTCATGCCTGTAATCCCAGTACTCTGGGAGTTCAAGGCCAGAGGGAGGCTGAGGCAAGAGGTTTGCTTGAACCCAGGAATCTGAGGTTGCTGTGAGCTATGATGCCATCACACTCTAGCTTGGGTGATAGACTGTTTCAAAAAAAAAAAAAAAAATGTAGTAGTCTCCAGATGTAGGGAAGCCAACAGTCTCCAGCAGGTAATACAAATTGATACAACTTTTTTGAAGGATGATTTGGTATCATCTTTCAAAAACAGAAAACAAGAAATAGGCTTTAGGAAAGCAATTCTCAAAATTTTTTCTTCAGGTTAATGCCGTCATGTATGCAAAGAAAGCATACATAAAGCATGGGTGTGGGTTTTGGGGGGGAGGGTAATGGTAAAAGACTGGGATATAACTTGTACGTCTACTGACACATTGAATAAAGAGAATATGTTCAGTAAATTTGGTAAAGTACAAGTAGAGGACATTGAAGATTTAAGGAGAAGAGAGAGGATCTCTGTATGCTGATCTGTGATGATTTCTGAGACAGTCACATGAAAAGAGAGATACAGTGGGTCACCCTTTCTATAAATAAATGTGAGTGTGTGTATTTGTAAAAAAAAGTCCTTAGGTTAAAGTGCACACTTTAAAATAGAATCAAAGCCACAGGCTATAGCCAGCTGTTCCATAGCGCTGACTGGAAAACCTGCTGGGTTTTTTCAGATGACCGCCCTGCTGGGACCCGGAGTGTGAGGGCTCCAGTTACAAAAGCCCATGGAGGCGCAGGGGGTGCACAGAAGATGCCTTTCTGTGACAGATGCGGGAGTGGCATCGTGTAAGTTTCATGTTTAATGCTGGAATTACCACAAATCTTGGTGACAGCTCTCGGTTTCTTGTACTTTAAGACTTTGAGTAGCACAGTGGTTATGGTGCCAGCCACATATACTGAGGGTGGCAGGTCAGGCCAGCTAAACAACTGTAACCAAAAAAAAAAAAAAAGATAGCAGGCACTTGTAGTCCCAGCTACTCGGGAGGCTGAGACAAGAGAATCACTTAAGCCCAAGAGTTTGAGGTTGCTGTGAGCTGTGACGCCATGGCACTCTACCGAGGGTGACATAATAAGACTCTGTCTCAAAAAAAGAAAGGGCTTTATATAGAAAAGGAACTTATGAAAAAAATTTTTATTCATCTGTGTGAAATATAAGGCCCCCAACATTTAGCCGATTGTGATAAGCATTCCTTCAACTTAGCTCCAAATTGCCATTTCATATCAATCGGCAATCTTGGCTTATAATTTCAGATATACTCTTGTGGGAAAAAAATTGCCCCAAAAATACATTTAAAAATCATTTCCAAGAATGATCTCACTTTTAAAAAGCCCTGCTTCTGGGCAGGGGTGGGGTGGGGGGTGGCTGACCCCTGTAATCCGAACACTCTGGGAGGCTGAGGCAGGTGGATTGCTTGAGCTCAGGACTTTGAGACCAGGCTGAACAAAAGAAAGACCCATCGCTATCAAAAATAGAAAAACGAGCCAAGCATTGTGGTAGGCACCTGTAGTCCCAGCTCCGGGAGGCTGAGGCAGGAGGATTGCTTGAGCCCAGGAGTTTGAGGTTGCTGTGAGTTATAATGCCATGACACTCTACCTAGGGCAACAAAATAAGACTCTGTCTCCAAAGAAACCTCCCCCAAACTTGCCTCTGTTAATGTATGGTCATTGAACACTTCTCTTTCTGGATAAACCCAGTAAAAGAAATACAGGGATCATAAGCTTGTTAATTAAAACACATGATTTTTACCCAATTTCTTGATTGCATTGAGATATAATTTCAAAAAATACAGTCAGCTTTCATTGCAAGAGACTTTGTATTTATTTATTTTTTATTTTCTATTTTTTTAAATAGTCTCACTCTGTTGCCCCAGGCTAGAGTGCTCTGGCCTCTTCAGAGCTCACAGCACCCTCAAACTCTTGCACTCAAGAGATCCTCCAGCCTCAGCCTCCCAAGTTATTGGGACTATAGGCAACCACCACCATGCCAGGCTCATTTTTCTATTTTTAGTAGATATGGGGTCTCACTTTTGATCCCAGAGTGCTAGTATTCCAGGCGTGAGGCACTGCACCCAGCCTGAAACTTTAAATTGCCACACTTGGTAGTTCACATCTTCAAGTCAGCTGGGATTATTCTAATGTCTCTACCAGGTGTGTCCCCCGTGGCCACTTCTTCCATCCCTGCTCTATCCCCCTACATCAGCTCACCCACTGGGGCCCCTTCTCTTACTACCTAGCACACATCCCATGAGTGCAATGGAGGGTGGGCCTACTTGGGGCAAAGGAGGAATATAGGACCAAAAGGACATAGCACAGCAGGGAGCTTAGAGCTCAGGGACTTCAATAAAATGCAGAAAGTGTGATGTCACCAAGCAGAGAAAGCAATCAGAGGGATCCATGGCTAGGTAGACAGCAGCCTTCGGCAGAACCGGCCTCCTTTGCAGAGGTGTTTGTCTTAATCTGTGTCACCTCTCCCTCTTTGAAAGAAAGGATGGGGGAAGATCACAAAGTAAGCTCCTCCAAGTTTGTCATAAACTACAGACTTGAAAATCTGAAACATATTCACACATCAAAATCAGAGCAAGGTGATAGTTTGTTACAGCTGTGCTGGAGCTCTGTGACAAGTGCACGCTGACACAGCCAGCCACTTCCTGACTGTACAGCAGGCAACTGCTGCCCCATCTGGAATGTTCTCTCCCTTGTATTCGCTGACCTTTCTCTGTGGTCTTTTCAATAGAGCTCCTTTTTCCCAACAGCGGTGCGGTGGTGAAGGCGCGGGACAAGTATCGCCATCCTGAGTGCTTTGTGTGTGCTGACTGTGGCCTCAACCTCAAGCAGAAAGGCTACTTCTTTGTGGAGGGGGAGCTGTACTGTGAGACCCACGCAAGAGCCCGCACGAGGCCCCCAGAGGGCTATGATACAGTCACCCTGTACCCCAAAGCTTAGGCTCTGCAGGCCAGGCAGGCACACACGCACCCACCCATGCACACTGGCATGGGAAGAATTTCATGGCTTGGGACAGAGGATCTCACAGACTGTCAACTCCAAATCCAAAGCAGGGGCTTTTAGATGTTTTATTTCATTGTGTGTCAAGAAAAAGAAATGGTTGCCAGATGCCAGCTACATGATAAAAACATACATTTAGCTATGTTCTGCAACTCTTTTTATTTTGGGGGCTAGTAATCATGACACTTAAGGCAATAACTTGTATGTTATACTCCACAATTTACATGGCCAACAAACATGTACTCATGGAAATATCAAGATGTCTAGGCAAGTCTGATTGTCTTTCCTTGGCAAGTTGATTCCACCATTGTGGTAAATACCAAATAACAATCTTAGATTCTAACATAATCATAGTTGTCTGTAACCGTTTGAAATATGACAGTGCATGTCAGGAGAAATTCCTGTAGTTCATATTTAAACAATTATGCCACTGGGTGTAACAGACATAATAAACACAGAAAACATTTTTAAAATACCTAATGGAGTAGCAGTCCATGAATTCAGATAACATCAACATTTCAAGGAGAGGGCCTAATCATATTTTGAGGTGTATGCTAACAACTCAAATATTTTAAGAAAAATGTTACTCTTTCTATCATTTCCAAATTGCTGCTACTAGGTAGGAGGGGCATTTAAATCTGCTCTTTAGCCAGTCATGGTGGCTCACACCTGTAATCCCAGCACTCTGGGAGGCCCAGGTGGGTGGATTTCTTGAGCTCAGGAGTTCTAGACCAGCCTGAGCAAGAAAGAGCAAGATCTGGCTGGGCACCTGTGGCTCAAGTAGCTAAAGTACCAGCCACATACACCTGAGCTGGTGGGTTCAAATCCAGCCCAGGCCTGCCAAACAACAATGACAGCTGCAACCAAAAAATAGGCAGTCGTGGCAGGTGTCTGTAGTTCTAGCTACTTGGGAGGTAGAGTCAGGAGAATCGTGTAAGCCCAGGAGTTGGAGGTTGCTGTGAGCTGTGACACCACAGCCCTCTACCTAGAGCCACAGCTTGAGGCTCTGTCTCAAAAAAAAAAAAAATCCCATCTCTACTAAAAATTGAAAAACTAGCCAGGCATGTGGCAGGTGCCATAGTCCCCGCTACTCGGGAGGCTGATGCAAGAGGATCACCTGAGCCCAAGAGATTGATGTGAGCTATGATGACATCATGTCACTCTAGGCTGGGTGACAAGAGACTCAGTCTCCAAAAAAAAATCTGCTATTTAAAGGTAATTCAGTCTCTTTGAAATTAAAACACTTTATTCTGCTTTGACAGAGTGTCTTTTGATTTAAATGTCTTTTTAAGATAGATATCTGGTCAAATCGGAGGTTTCATTTGATCAAGTTTGTTTCTCCTTGTTCAATGTCTCCTTCCCAAGATGACATCTCCCGTGGTGGCCAATGTAGGAGCCTCCTAAGGAAGGCAGGGCTGCTGGTGTCTTCAGGCCCTGTTTGTATCCACTGCTAAATTCTATGGTTTCACATGTGGTCAGCTGGGGCCCAGGCAATAGCCCATGGCCACTCCCACCTCTAAAACTCTTAGCTTGGACTTCGCTGGAGCTGTGGACTCTCTGCATCAAAGAAGCACAAGTCACTCCACCTGGCTCCAGCCCTGGCAGTCTTGGACACAGGCAAACTGTCTCCCAAGGACTGGCCCTGAGGCACTGGGCTTCAAATTCTTCATGAATGAAATAAGAAAGTTAGACTGGTTGATCTCTAAGATGTCCACCAGCTCAAACATTCAATAATTTGTTCTTGACATTGTCTCCATCAGTTTCAATTGGCTATTCCATTTAGTGAGGTCATGATGTTGAGGTGGCCAGCTTCGGCTGGTGCAGTGGCTCATGCCTGTAATCCTAGCACTCTGGGAGGCCAAGACAGGAGGATCTCTTGATCCTAGAAGTTTGAGACCAGCCTGAGCAAGAGCAAGACTCTGTCTCTACTAAAAATAATAATAAAAAAAAATCTAGCCAGGTGTGGTGGTGGGCGCCTGTAGTCCCAGCTACCTCCTCCTACCAAGGCAGGAGGATTGCTTCAGTCCAAGAGTTTGAGGTTGCTATGAGCCATATGATGCCAGGGCCCTCTACCCAGGGCCAAGGTGACAAAGTAAGACTTTGTCTCAAAAAACAAACAAACAAACAAACAAAAAAAGAACATGGCCATCTTCCTGGTTCATTTAGATGTTTCTTTCTATTTCAAAGTCACAAATACCACCCTGACGCAGGTCATGGCTTACAACAGAAGTCCACCAGGAACATGGATTTATTATTGCAAATGGATTAGCTCCATCAGAAGGCCACATTGATCTTATGTTTATATAGCAAGGGAAACACACTATTATTATTGATGTGAAACAAAGTGGCCTAAGGCAGTGCAACTCCATAGGTATCCAAAAAGCAGAAAGCAGCTTAGCATCAGGAAGAAAGGGACTTCTGTATTGAGTTGATTACAGACTCCTCAGTCTAAAGAGGCTACAGGAACTACTGCCTCTGAACTACTCTAAGTGTAAACACCTACTCAGCCTTGGGAAACTTAGTAGTGATCTAAACTAAGAGCCGTGTCACAGAGAAAACACATTTCCTGAGGCTTCCACCTCTATCATCTCTACAAAACCGCCAAACCTTCACCTGTTCAAAGATACCCTTAAGTCCTTGGTCTTCTTCTTGGTCCAAGTCGTCCTCTATTACTCCATTTTATTACCTCTTTCCTCAAGTTCTCTTTCCAGTTTATTTTTTTTTTCACTTAGTCTTTCTTTGTTGCTGACTCTTAATTGCAGCCTGCAAATATGCTGAAGCCCTTACCCCATCCTAACATGTATTTCCCTGACACCTGTTGCCTTTAAGCTCCCTAACTTTATGTTGATCCCTTGAGTGCACAAACTGCTTAGGATTAGACCAGGTCTGTCCTGCCAGTATGCCCACTACACCTTTACCTAAGTCCCCTTAAAAGGAGCAATTTCCTAAGAGCCAGAGCTGGAGGCTATACCCAGGGAATTGTGGAGTTCGTTCTCTTACATAGATGAAATCACATTAAAGCTAACAGAAAAGACAATTTAAAGAAGGCTGGATACAAAAGTGCTTCTATTTGAATCAAACCTTTGAGCTGTGGAAGAAAGGTCTGCTACCCATCCACTGCATTCTAAGTCACTAATACATGTGTGTAGCCCTACATGAGCAAAATGCATGCTGTAGTACAGCTACCCAAATTTGCTACACTCAAAGGGTGATCTGGTCACTTTTTCATGTTGTTATAGTATTTCATCTATGATTTAATGATAGCCTTGTGATCTCAGGTTTAGAAAAAGATCTTATGAAGCTAAAAATAAAGCATTTTAAAATACCCAGAAGTATTTTAGCCTGCTAGTGAGTTGCTGAGAATAGATGGTTAGCTTGTTTTTGTGCTCTTGAATTTACTCCTAATTCTTGAATCTGCAGCTGTTAGTAAACAGCTTCAATTCTCTAAGAGGAGCTACTGTTTGAAGGTTTTGAAAGATTGTGACATAGATTTTCTTTGAATCAGTAGTTCAGATTGTCATCCTCTGGCAATAAACTTCACAAACAAAAAAAGTCAAAGACTTTTCAGGGCATTCCGTAGGCTATGTGTCCAGAAAAAGCATATCTCCCAACAGAATATGCTTTGTTGTCTGATGTGAGGCTGAGTAAAATAGACCCAGTCTCAGAACAAGGTCAAGGTCATGCAGGTAAAGGTGAGGCCGCACCAGGAAACAGGAACTTTTAGCTCTAGTATTAACTATATTAATACATCCTCTCTACTACCCTAAAATTTAGAGCAAACACTGACCTACATCACAAAACTATAATTTCAATGGAAAAAAAAACTTTTAAGAGAAGCTGGTTTGGGCAGAACCAAAGTTTTAGAATCGGGAAGTCTAGCACTGATGGAGTTATGGTTTTTGAAAAGTTCCTTAACTTTCTCATTTTTCAATTTTCCCCATAAAATTTCACAATTCTCAACATCATGAAATATAAGCAGGAATATTTCACCAAAAGTTATTATGGGGAGAATCAGTATATTGGGGAGGGGCCAATTTAACATTCCCCAGAGAGTTAGGATGCTACACTTCACTCACCGACTTCAGATGGGATAGTAATACATTCATTGTCACAGGAACAGAACAGTGATGGATAGGCCCAGGCAAGTAGACTGAATATTTTTGTACCTCTCAGTATTTTTACATTTCTCAAAAAAATTTTAATTTATTAAGAAATAAAACATCATGAAGATAAGCCATCTAAACGTGCATTTGTGAGAAGTTCCTACAATTTTTATATTTTTAGAAGTTTGGCAAATTTATCAATACTGTTGCAAAATAAATAATACTCATTTAAAACTTTTATTTTAAAGAGTACCAAGATCAAGACCAAGTTCTGGTCAGCAAGAAGGACGCGGAATTAAAAGCCCATGCGGGACTGTCCCCTGGGGAGGGTACAGTAAAGGGGGACCTTCACCCCACACACCTGTCCCAGGCACCGCTCCTGCGGGGAAAGCGACCCGCCGACCCACGCAGGATGCAGGACCTGACCCCGGACGCTGAGCGCGCACCTGCTGCCTGAGCCCAGACGGCCCTATCGCGCGCCACCTGCGCTCGCGCCGTCCCCGCCACCTCGTTACCTGGCAACGGGATGCCTGAGCTAGAAGGGACCGAGCGGAATGCAGAGGGAAGGCGGTTTGGAGAGAGGGCCTGAGTAGCAGGGATGAGTCCGGGTAAGAGCCAGGCGGCGCTGCCAGGTTGTGGAGGACCGGGAAGGAGCGCGGAGTGGCGGAGAAGAGCAGGGAGGCGCGGGGAGCAGCGCAGAGGAGAGGGGAAGGGCAGGGAGGGGCGTGGAGGTGCCTGAAGAAGCAGAGTTGTCCGGAGGGGCGCGGAAGTACCCGCAAGCGCGGGGAGGTGCGCCGTAAGGAGGGGCGTGGCAGTGCATGAGGGGCGTGGCGGTGCGTGAGGGGCGTGGCCGTGTGAAATGCGGGGAGGTGCGCGGAAGGGCGTGGCGGCGCGTGAGGGGCGTGGAGGTGCGTGGCGGTGCGTGGAGATGCCTGGGCGGGGGCGGGCAGAGGAGTAACGGGGCACCGAGGTACGTGCAGCGGCGCGTTGACGCGTGAGGGGCGTGAAGAACGTCAAGGGCGTCGCAGGGAGCCGAGGGGTGCGGACTGCGCGAAGGATCCTGGAACCCTGCGGAGCGCGGTTCAGGTCCTTCTCCAGCCAGCTCGAGGATTTCGCGTGTCTGCCCAGTGCGAGTGCCCGGTTCGTCGCACCTCTCTTCCCCGGTGTTCCTGCCGCCGTCACTAGCACCCTCAGTGGCACCGCCCGGAGCCCAGCACCTGCACGTTCTGTTACAGAAAAGCGGCGGGAGGCAAAAGATGAGGTGGACTCCGTTCTTCTTTCTGCGTCCAAGATCCTGAAATCCTCTGAGGGCGTGAGGGACAGCGGTGGCAGTGAAGCAGGTAAGGTCGCCGAGGCCGGGGCTCTGAGAGCCTTAAAAGGCTCCTAAACCCGCTGGCCTGGCTGGGGCACTTGTGACCATTGTCGGAATTGCGGCGACCCCTTTAATCTTCACAACAGCCCTCTGAAGTAGTGAGACAGCAGGACCAAGAAAGAGGTTGTCGAACTCCCTGAGGTGACAGCGCAGGGTGGCGCCGAGCACACACCTCTTGCCCAGCACTCTGCACTACCTGCTTCTCTGAAGGCTGATAAGAATTGTTGATTTTAAGGGACTAGACGCTTATGTTGTCGGTTCTCTGTATCTAGAGGTTCCCAATTTTCAAAATCAACCAACCACAGATGGAGATTTTCAGGCTAAAACCCCACAAAAACCTAAAAAGTAACAATACCATTTTAAAAAATACAAATTTCTTAAATACAGCATAATAACCATTTATATTGTATTGGAAATTTATAAGTAATCTCTAGGTGATTTAAAGTGTATGAGAGGGTGTGAATGGGTTATGTGCAAATAACCCCACTTTGTATCAGAGACTTGAGCATCTGCAGATTATAGTATCTGGGGGAAAGGGGGTGCTGGAACCAATCCCCAGAGGGCCTATAGTTTCTATAGTAAACTACTCTTTACAGTTAATATGTGTGGACTACAGGATATGGTATGGGGAGAGTGTTTGTTATAACCACATAAACCATGAATGGGATATGCATAAGTGTCCAGCTAGGGAAATCTGAGGACACTAAAGTTGGTGTCTGTACACACTTTGGAGGGGCCTGGTGTTCTGAGTCAGATGCCAGATGGAGGCAGAGGTGGTGGCATAGCTCACCTGGAGCACATGTAAACCCCACACAGAGGTGCTGAGGTTGGAACAGAATTTTTGCAGCAAAGTAAATCAAATACCTGGTCAAGGGCCCTGAAAGAAGATGAGACAGCCACACCTCAGTAGAAGGATATCTGGAGCCCTGGCACCACCAGGTTGAGCAGTGTCCCAGGGAAGGCCAACAAAACAGTGACTGCCCAGACCCTTCTGCATCCTTCTGCCTCCTAGGTCGGCCCATGAGGGTACACAGGCTTCCAGTGCCTCAAAGGTGGTGCAGGGGAGAAAGACCCCCTCCCAGAAAGTTTAGACACTGAATCAGCTCAGTATTACCTCAAAGAGACTGTTTAAAGCCAGAAGAGATGGAGGTAACTTAATTTCCCAAGATCATGTTTTCTTTTTTTTATTATTTCAGGTTAATTCGAGGGTACATACAGTTAGGTTGCATTACTTGCATTTGTAAGATAAAGTTCAAAGTCTGAGGTGTAGTTCAGTCCTTCATGGGGGAAGTATGCCATCTACCACTACATTTTACCCAATAAGTGGAAATTTACCAACCCTTTCCCCACTTTTTTTTTTTTTTTTGAGACAGAGTCTCAAGCTGTTGCCCTGGGTAGAGTGCATCATAGCTCACCCCAACCTCAGACTCTTGGGCTTAAGCAATTCTCTTGCCTCAGCCTCCCAAGTAGTTGGGACTACAGGCGCCCACCACAACGCCTGGCTATTTTTTTGTTGTTGTTGCAGTTGTCATCGTTTTAGCTGGCCCAGACTGGGTTCAAACCCACCAGTCTTGGTGTATGTGGCCAGCGCCCTACCTGCTGAGCCATGGGCTACCCACTGAGCTACAGGCACCGCCCCGCTTTCCCCACTTCTTTTTTTTTTTTTTTTTTGGCCGGGGCTGGGTTTGAACTCACCACCTCTGGCATATGGAACCAGCGCCCTAACCTTTTGAGCCACAGGTGCTGCCCCCCTACTTCTTGAATTTAATTGTTTTTCTCTCTTGTGGGCCTATAGTTGTTAGTCTACTACTTTCAACGTATTGTTGAGTACATAGGATACTTGCTTTTCCTTTCTTGAGATACTTTACTTAGGAGAATGTTCTCCAAATCCATCCAGGTAAATATAAAAGATGCAAAGTCTCCTCCACCTTTATTTATGACTGGTTAGTTTTCCATGGGGTACATATAGCACAACTTATTTTTTTTTTTTTTTTTTTTTTTGAGACAGAGCCTCAAGCTGTCCCCCTGGGTAGAGTGCCGTGGCATTACAGCTCACAGCAACCTCCAACTCCTGGGCTCAAGCGAGTCTCTTGCCTCTGCCTCCCAAGTAGCTGGGACCACAGGCGCCCGCCACAACGCCTGGCTATTTTTTGGTTGCAGCCATCATTGTTGTTTGGCGGGTCCGGGCTGGGGATTCGAACCCGCCACCTTAGGTGTACGTGGCTGGCGCCTTAGCCGGTTGAGCTATAGGCGCCGAGCCAGCACAACTTATTAATTCATTCATGGGTTGATAGGCAGTTGGGTTGTATCCACATCTTTGCAATTGTGAACTGAGCTATTATAATAAACATTCAAGAGCTACTATAATAAACATTCAATGTCCTTATGGTAAAATGATGTTTTTCTTCTGGGTAGATAGTTAATAATGGGATTGTAGAATCAAGTGGAAGGTCTACTTTTAGTTTTTTGAGGATTCTCCAAATTACTTTCCAAAAGGGCTGTATTAGCTGGGCGTAGTGGCTGACTCCTATAATCCTAGTACTCTGGGAGGCAGAGGCAGAGGCATGTGGATTGCTTGAGCTCAGGAGTTTGAGACCAGTCTCAGCAAGAGGGAGACCCCATCTCTACTAAAAATAGAAAAATTAGTGGGGTGTTGTGGTAGGCACTTATAGTCCCAACTACTTGGGAGGCTGAGGCAAAAAAATCACTTGAGCCCAAGAGTTTGAGGTTACTCTGACACCATGGTACTCTACCAAGGGTGACAAAGTGAGACTCTTGTCTCAAAAAAAAAAAAAAATGGCTGTATTAGTTTGTAGTTCCACCAATAGTGCGTAAGCATTCCCTTCTCTCTACATCCACGCCAGCATCTGCAGCCTTGGGACCTTGTGATGTGGGCTATTCTCACTGGGGTTAGCTGGTATCCCAAGGTGGTTTTGATTTCATTTTTCTGATGATTAGGGACGATGAGCATTGTTTCAGGTTGTTTGTTATCTGTTTTCTTGGGGAAAGGTTCTGTCCATGTCCTTGTCCATTGATTGACGGTACTGGTTATTCTTTTCATGTCCATTTGCTTGAGTTCTTTGTAGATTCTGGTTATTTTCCCTTTGTCTTATTGGTAACATCCGAATATCTCCTCCCATTCTGAAGGTTGTCTGCATCTTTGATTGTGCAGAAGCTTTTGAACTTGATCATTTCCCATTTGTCTATTTCATTGTTGCTACAATTGTCAACCAGGTCTTCTTTGTGAATTCTTTCTCAAGGCTGATATCATTAAGAGTTTTTGTGGTGGCTCACTCCTATAATTCTAGCATTTGGGGAGGCTGAGGCAGGTAGATTGCTTAAGCTCAGCAGTTTAAGGCTAGCCTAAGCAAGAGGGAGAACCCATCTCTACTTAAAAAAAAAAAAAAGAAAAAAAAAAAGAGGAGGAAAAGAAACAGCCAGGCATCATGGTGGGTGCCTGGAGTCCCAGCTACTTGGGAAGCTGAGGCAGAAGGATCCATTGAGCTCAGGAGTTTGAGACCAGCCTGAGCAAGAGGGAGACTCCATCTCTACTAAAAATAGAAAAACTAGCCAGATATGGTGGTGGGTGCCTATCGTCCCAGCTACTTGGGAGACTGAGGTAGGCGAATCGCCTGAGCCCAAGAGTTTGAGGTTGCTGTAGACTATGCTGACACCATGGCACTCTACCCCAGGCAACAGAATGAGACTGTGTCTCAAAGAAAAGAGTTTTTCCCACACTTTCCTCCAGGCTTTTTATTGTTTCATGTCTTAGATTTAAATCTTTTATCCAGCATGAGTTAATTTTTGTAAGTGGTGAGAGAAGCAGGTCCAGTTTCAGTTCTCCTAGTACCATTTATTAAATAGGGATTTTTTCCCCAGTGGATAGCAAGACCACATGTTTTCTAATATGAGTAAGGCTTACGGCTCTGGAGGAAAATGTCAACATTTGTAGCAAATAAAGTTTCACGCAAAATGGTACGTTATTTGTTTAAGATTTATAGTCTTTCTTGCTAGAACACAATGGTTATAACCTCAGGTATAGCACAGTACTGGCTCTCAGTAAATGTCAGCTCTCCTAAGGCAGTTGCTGCCAGGGATAGCAGGGGTTTCCTGCCTACAGTTACAACCAGAATTAAGAGGGAAGGTCTTGCACCCTCCTGTCTTGGTTCCTATCTACACTTCCTTGTCACCTAGTGATCCTACTAACTGACAGAATAATGACTTTATTTGCATAAATGCTGCCAAGTTAGAAAGAGTTATATAAGCCTTTTCCTTCTTGTGATAATGGAAGCTGTTTTCCACTGTCTATGGTGAACATATCTTTCTCTGTAAGCCTGTACCTTGTTTTTACTCTATAGACCTATCTTTCTCTTTCTTTTTTTTTTCCTTCTGGGACAGTGTCTCACTTTGTCACCCTCAGTAGAGTGCCAATGGTGTCACAGCTCACAGCAACCCCTAACTCTTGGGTTTAAGTGATTCTCTTGCCTCAGTCACCCTAGTAGCTGGGGCTACAGGTGCCTGCCACAATGCCCAGCTATTTTTGTTGTTGGAGTTGTCGTTGTTTAGGAGGCCTGGGCTGGGTTTGAACCCGCCTGCCTTGGTGTACATGGCAACGCCCCACCCACTGAGCTACGGGTGCTGCCTCTCTTTCTTAATAAACTTTGCTTCATGTTTGCCTAAAAAAAAAAAAAAAGAAAGAAAAGAAAGAGTTATGTAATATTTTCAACGTCTCTTTGATTTCAGAAGTACTAATGGTTAACCTAATTAAGACTTGACTTATTGGAATGGGCAAGTGTGAGGAACTTTTGAACTTCAGGGTATCCAGTGGGTTGGTTTTAGTCTCGTATTTCTTACTTGGTTTTAGAAAACAGAGTCCTATACTTAGCTTTAAACTTGTAAGTCCTCTTAATGAAACAAGGGAAATCAGTACAGAAATGGGAAACTACTGCTTTAGGTACAGGAAAGTTAAGGAATTTTGAGCAACACCAGTAAGGATGAAGTTGAAGGCTGAAGATGTTTCCAAGAATGATATCCTGTCTTTGTGTTCAAATAAAGATCTTTGGGGGAACTATGGTTATAGAACAGAATGTAGGCTCGGCACCTGTGGCTCAAGTGGCTAAAGTGCCAGCCACGTACACCCAAAGTGGCGGGTTCAAATCCAGCCCGGGCCACCAAACAACAACAATGATGGCTGCAACCAAAAAATAGCTGAGCGTTGTAGTGGGTGCCTGTGGTCCCAGCTACTCGGGAGGCTGAGGCAGGAGACTTGCTTGAGCCCAGGAGTTGGTGGTTGCTGTGAGCTGTGATGCCACAGCACTCTACCTGGGGCGACAGCTTGAGGCTCTGTCTCAAAAAAAAAAAAAAAAGAACAGAATGTAAACATAAAACTTCAGTGTGAAAATAATATACTAGCAAATATCATGACAAGTGGGGTGTAGATATGGAAGCAAATAGAAATCAAGGCCCATATAATACTTTGCCAAGGGTCTCCCAAAACATAAAGATTATTAGTTAAAAAAAAAAACATAGAAACAAAGATATTTGAATTTTTGAGAGTTTCAAGTTTGGTATTGCAAATTAATAATGTGCTACAAAAGTGAAAACATTGTTATAACCTCAAGTGGATATTTTAAGTCAAGAGAGAATTATTTCCTAAACTTATTACATGAGTAGCATGGTGGGAATATCAAGTATTCTCTTTATTTCTGTCTCACTCACCAAGAGAGTTGGGAGACTGCTTTCTATGACAGCTGTTTAAAATTCAAATTTGAGAATTTAATCATTTGGTTTTTCAATTTTGCTTCTTAGAATATGGCTGCCTATCAGAGTCAGAAAATCAAATCCAACCACAATCAGCACTTAAAGTGAGTAGTATATTTCATTCCATTATCTCCAAAATCCTGTATAAAGGCTGATCTTTTTCAGAGTAAATACTTTTTTTTTAATTTTTTTATTAAGTCATATACACATAGATCATGAATACATTTATGCATATGTGAGGTACAATGTGTTTTTTTAATACAATTTGACATGCTTACATCAAACTAATTAATATAGTTTTCACCTCTTTTACTTGATTATTGTGTTAAGACATTTATGTTCTATACTTGATAGATTTAACTTGTACCCTTGCAATTATGCTCCATAGGTGTGGTCCCGCTGTTTCAGAGTAAATACTTCTTAAGTGCTTATGGGTTCTTCCACTTTATCCTCAAAAAAATCTCATGATAACGTATTGTAGAGTTGCCAACTGATCATAGGCAAGTTTAGGGAATATAGAAGAAAAATCTTAACAGTTCTAGAATATGTTTACCTAACTAAAAAGTCTTCCATTTCATACTTTTTTTGATGTTGTTATAGGTCCTTCAGCATCAGTTGGAATCATTTCAGGCTCTGCGAATGCAGACTTTGCAGAATGTTAGCATGGTATGTTTCATTTCATCTATGTATTTGAAGTATCTAAAATACCATGCATCTTCTAAGTCAGTGATTACTAGCCAGTTGACTCACTGATAGAGAATTTAATATAATATAATAGAGGCCACAAGCAATTCTAGGCTTAACGTTTGTTTTAAGAGAAATGCATTCTTCTCTCTGTTATGCTTATATTTGGTTACCAGCCAAAAGAGATGCACTCAATGATTTTTTTATTTTTTATTTTTTATTTGTTGAGGCAAGATCTCACTCTGTCACCCTGGGTAGAGTGCTGTAGCATCATAGCTCATAACAACCTCAAACTCCTCGGCTCAAACAGTCCTCCTGCCTCAGTCTCCCAAGTGAGTACCTGGGACTACAGACACCTGCCACAATACCCAGCAGGTTTTTCTATTTTTAGTAGCGACATGGTCTCTCTTGCTCTTGCTCAGGCTGGTCTTGAACTCCTAAGCTGAAGTGATTCACCTGGCTTGGCCTTACTCAGTGATTTGTTGTTGGTGGTGGTTTTTTTTTTTTTTTTTTTTTGAGACACTCACCCTTGGTAGAGTGCTGGTATCACAGTTCACAGCAACCTCTAACTCTTGGGCTTATGCGATTCTCTTGCCTCAGCCTCCCAAGTATCTGGGACTACAAGTGCCTTCCACAACGCCTGGTTATTTTTTGTTGTTGTTGTTGTTGTTGTTGCAGTTGTTGTAGTTTAGCAGACCTGCTTTGGGTTCGAACCCACCTGCCTTGGTGTATGTGGCCAGTGCCCTAACCACTGAGCACAAGTGCTGAGCCATTCACTGATTTTTTTTTTAAATACACATCTAAAGTGCTACCTAGATAGAGTCTACAAATAGGGACTCTCATTACAAGTGATACAAAATCTAACTCAGACTGGTACAGGGAAAATAATGCACTTTCATAGTTCAAGTAACTGCAAGTCTTGGAGATGGCTCACTTCAGAACGCCTCAGGACTCGGGTCTTGGGGAACAAGTCTTGCTCCATTTCTTGATTCTTTTGTCCACAGTAGTGGATTCTCAGATTCCTTAGATAGCGAAAGATTGGCTTAAAGCTCCAGGCCTTTATCCTTCAAGATTTAAGTCAGGAAAGAGAGTACACTTAGCTCTTCATGTTTATACTAAGGTTCCTGGCCTGCTATGGATTGCCTCAGATTGGGTCCCATGCAATGCTTGAACCAGATGGATGATGGTCTCTGACTAGTAGCTCTGAGTCTCATACCCACCCTGGGAGCTGGCGGTAGAATCAGTATCACCAAAGGCACAGGGGCTTTATCTAGAAGAAATAAAGAGTAATGTAAACAGAAGGCTAGGGTATGAATGTTGGAGTGAATAACACACACATATTCTCTAAAGACCCAATGTTTATACACTTCATGCTGATGTTCATACACTAAAAGCACCCCAAGAGGGGCTGCACCTGTGGCTCAAAGGAGTAGGGTGCTGGCCCCATATGCTGGAGGTAGTGGGTTCAAACCCAGCCCAGGCCAAAAACTGCTAAATAAATAAATAAATAAAAGCATCCAAAGAGAAGTGGGAAAAGAAGATCAACTCCTTCTGATGGTAACAGAATAGATTTCATTGTGATGACTGGGATCAAAGGGCTGTTATTTATTCTACAATACAAAAGTCAAATATTGAAAATTGTTTGAGATTTTTCAACCACTATTCTCTCCACTGGAGTACCACCACTGTGGTCTCCCTTCAGCTGCCATCCTGATTATCTAACAGGACCTCATCAGCCACCATGAGATATTCTGACATTTACAAGATCTGAGAGATCCAGATGGGCTGTGCCTGAAAGTGGAGGGGAAGATGGTCTGTAGGACAGAGGGTAACAAGGATGACTCACCTCCCTTATTGGTGGAAATGCTTCTACTGAAGGTCCTGAGGGTGAAGGTACCTAAAGCACAGTAATCACTAGTGTGAATGTCCTCATGAACCATCACTTGTAGAAAACCAGCTTCACAAAAGACGCCTACAAGGAGTACCCCAAAGATAACATGAAGTCAATCAAAGGCAAACTTGAAGAACAGAGACCAGAGAGAGTAAAGCCTTTTGTGACAGAGGCTGTAAAACACATCAAACATGCCCTTGCTAATTTCAAAAATCCACCACTTCTAGGAGAGAAAAGACTTCTAGGGGAGAAAAGAAAAGCCAGGCATCTCTGACTTGTGAGTTCTGCCCAGAAACATCCCTTTGGGAATGCAGGGAGACAGCGAGAGACTTCTGGACCCCAGGAGGAGGACAAAAGCAGTGGAGAATGGACAAGTGGTTGTGTTCAGGTAGTAGCTGCCACTGCTGTATCAACAACAGCAGTGAGACTGCAAACAGGGAAGGCCTTCCCTGTGGGCTGTTTTGTTTTTTTGGACTTGGGCACTCAGTTGAACTACCTTGGGAGAACTTGGGCGAGAGTGCAGATGACTTTAAACGTTGTCTAGGGCCCTGGACTGAGCCACCGAGCCAGAACAGAGCTAATAATTGTTTGTTCAGCTGTGGGCCATGAGCAGCCATTGTGGGAAATCTGCCCCTGCAGGCTCCACCCTCAGGGTCACAGGTAGGCTTGGGCTGAGAGACCTTCGTTGAGTGATCATGTGACTGAGCAGCCCAAAGGCTGGGACTGAGATGCTGGGGAAGAGCAGAGGGCTCAGGGTTTGGCAGTAGAAAGGCTGCCTTGCAGCCTTGGCCATAAGGGGCATAGAATGAGATCAGTTTTGGTGCACAGGATAAGTGGGCAGCCATGTCAGGAGAGATCCCAGTGGCAAGTGCTTCCCTGGGAAAGCTTTGGCTTAGCCAAGGTTAACAGTTTAAAGTGTTTTTTAATGGCTCGGCGCCTGTGGCTCAAGTGGTTAAGGCGCCAGCCACATACACCTAAGGTGGCGGGTTCGAATCCAGCCTGGGCCCACCAAAACAACAATGACAGCTGCAACCAAAAAATAGCCAGGCATTGTGGCAGGCGCCTGTGGTCCCAGCTATTTGGGAGGCTGAGGCAGGAGACTCGCTTGAGCCCAGGAGTTGGAGGTTGCTGTGAGCTGTGATGCCATGGCACTCTACCCAGGGGGATAGCTTGAGGCTCTGTCTCAAATAAATAAATAAATAAAGTGTTTTTTAAGCAGGCTGAGGAGAGATTTAGGCTTTCAACCTGGTGGGGTTTGAGAAATCAGCAGAGGCCTCTAGTCACCATCTCATACAGCTGTATCAGCATTGTGATTAACATCTCATTCCCCAGATCACCTGTTGCCCAGACACCAGACGATATTCAGTAAGATATATATATATACACTGTTTCGTTTTTTTTTCTTTTAATTTCAACATTTTCCCTCTAGATTTTTCTTTTCTTTTTCTTTCTTCTTTTATTTCTTCATTTTTTCTAGTTTAAATGTAATTTTCCATCATTGCCATCTTTAATAATAAGAGCTTCATTTTTGCTAGTGTTTCTCTCCCTATTATGGGATTTTTCCCCTAATTTTATCCTGTAAGGTTTTTTGTTTGTTTGTTTGTTTTGGTATGATTTTTAGTATTTTTGTCTAATTTTATCCTATAAGGTTTTTTGTTTGTTTGTTTTGGTTTGATTTTTAGTATTTTTGTCTTTCCTCTCTATTTGGTAGAGGTGGGGTACTGTGTCTGCTCAGGCTGACAAAGAGCTGCTGACCTCAAGGGAACTACCCAACCCAGCACTCCCAGAGGTTGGGGGTTGTTAAGGGTGGGTCAAAGTACCCTACTGTGCACCTTTATTTCTCCTGTGTCCCTCCTTCTGTGCCTCACTTCTTTTTGTCAATATTCCCTTTTACTCACCCTCTCTCCTGTCTCTTTTTTCTTCTTTTAAATCTTTTTTCCCTTCTTGCTGTTCATTCTTCTCATCCTTTTGGTCCTGTACTAAAAGGACTCCTCAAAATCTTTGGCCAGAGGCATGATAACTTAAAGCATAAGAAGAAGTGGAAGGAAAATTAGGGCAAGGAAACAGATAAAAGAAAACACTCATGAGGAAGAATCAGCAGAAAAATCCTGACAACATGAAAAACTAGTCCAGAGCAACCCCCACAAGGGACCAGGAGGTAGCTACTGCAGAGGATTCCACCTATAACGAAATGTTAAAAATGACAGAAGGGGAATTTAAAATGCAGATGATGAAAACAATGGAGGAAATTGCTGATAAAGTGGAAAATAACCAAAAGGAAATCCAAAAACAGAATCAAATAAGAGATGAATGATATGAAGAATATAGAAAGGATATAGCAGAGCTAAAGTAACTGAAGCAGTTAAATAGGGAACTTACAGATTCAATAGAAAATATCCACAACAGATTAGACCATGCAGAAGAACCTCAGAGGTAGAGGACAAAACTCTTGAGATAACTCAGATAGTTAAAGAGGCAGAGAAGAAGAGAGAGAATGCAGAATATTCACTGACAGAAATTATGGGACTTTATGAAGTGTTTAAGCATATGAGTTATAGGTATCCCAGAAGGGGAAAAAGAATGCCCCCAGAGACATAGAAGCCATACTAGAGAATATCATAAATGAAAATTTCCCAAATATCACCGAGATTCTGACACACTCCTTTCAGAGGGATATCGGACCCCAGGTCACCTCAACTCGAATAGAGTTTCTCCAAGACACATTATGATGAACCTGTCCAAAGTCAAGACAAAAGAAGAGATTCTGCAAGCTGCCAGGGTAAGTGCCAGTTGACCTACAGGGGCAAATCCATCAGGGTGACTGCAGACTTCTCTAATGAAACATTTCAAGGCAGAAGACAGTGGTCATCTACCTTTAACCTACTTAACCAGAACAATTTCCAGCCCAGAATTCTATATCCTGCTAAGCTAAGCTTTAAAATTGACAGAAATTAGATCATTTACTGATATGCAAACATTGAGGAAATTTGCTACAATAAGATCAGCTCTACAGGAAATACTTTAACCTATTCAACACGCTGACCATCACAATGGACCAACAGCAAAGTAAGCAGTCAGAAATTAAAGGACA